ACCAAGATATGATGGACTGTCAGATCTGCGTTGCAGTTTGGGCAGCTGGGATTCTCTTCTCCCTTCAGAAGATACTCATGGGTCAGGCGACAATGGCCAATTCTCAGTTGAGTCAAGAGGACATCTTCCTTTCTATTAGCCATACATGGCCAGTATCCAATGGTGGGTTTTACATTTCTCAGCTTGTTACATACTCTGTCATCCCATTGCTTCTGCCATTTGCTGAGGATTTTGCTTTTGACAAACCCTTTGATGTCTGCTAGTGGAATCTGAAGATTGTACATTGTGGTTGCAGTTTTAGCTGCAATATCTGCCAATTCATTCCCCTTAATGGCAACGTGTCCAGGGATCCACGAATATAGAATCTGGTATCCCCGAATTTTTAAAGAATGATTCAACTTTAGGATTCTGATTGCAACTGGATGAGTACATTGAGCGTGATTTTTCAATGACATTAAGGCACTCATGGAATCTGTGTAGATAATAAATTTTGTGTACTTTTGTTTTGAAAGGTAAGTCAAAGCCAGATGGATTGCAGTAAGCTCAGAAGTAAGCACAGAGCAAACTGTATGTAATCGAACCCCTACTATTGTTTTTTCTGTGACGAAAGCAGCGCCAACATGATCCTGGGATTTTGATCCGTCTGTATATACAGGGATATATTTCCTATAATTGTTTCTATGTTGAAAAAAAAATCTGCTTCTAGATGATTTCATTAGTTTGATTTATTCGTGTCGAAAAATCCAGAGAATGGATTCTCCAATCCTCCCGGAGGAATTCCAAAAAATCCTATATCTATATTAGACAAATATACTCCTCACAAGCACTATCGCAAGCGAAGGGAAATGAGTGTGCCTGTAAACGGGTTTGTCTTATGATTTAGTTTTTCAGCCGATATAAGAATCGGGTTACTCGGTGGTACAGAATAAACCCTGCTGGACTGTTTTATTTCTTTGTCATTTAGCAAAAATCTTTTAATTAAAATATTTATCCTTTGGACTTCGCTTTAAACTTTATTTATAGTTAAAATGACTAGAAAATGAAAAGCTGTCTTCAGCTGAAACGCAATTCATGTAATTGATATTTTAAAAAATTGACAAGAATGCAAAATTTATGGAAGTCTAGCAATCGAAAAATCTTAATTTTCTTGTGTGAGCACTGAAAATAACTGTAGAAGGAAAGAAGAAAATTAGGGAGAAAAGTAAGCAAAAATTTGCAGGGAAAATTTGGCTGTCAGACATACCAAGATGTTTCAAAAAAGTTGGACGCTTTTGAATATACTTTCAGGATACTTCAAAGAATTTAGGTGTTCAAAGAGAAAACACTTGGACGTGTACACCAGCAAATACCATCAATTGAGCTTGTGTTAACAGAAAAGACAAAAACGATATCATTGCAGATTAAAGTGAAGAGCGACTGGTTTTAGACTATATGGTTGTATAAATTTAAATTACGTTATAGAACATCATATCGTATCATAAATGGAGAATCCCATGATTTTCTCAGTCGAATTATTTGAAGATTCAGGAGTTTATCCAGTGATGTATGTGGATGTCACCTAAAGATTTTTTTTTTTTTTTTCCCTCCTGATGAAACAGCGGCCGAGCGGTAAAGTCGCTGAACACTGGTAGTTCGGTCCGAGGTTCGAATCCCGCGAACGGGCTGGCTGCATGGGCGTTTTCGTGGTTTTCCCCATGTGTAACGTGTATGCGAGCCAGTTTCCCTTAGAAAGTCCTCCACGAAGGCATCCCTCCCCTTAGGCAGATAGCCCTAGTGTGCTTTGTCATAATTAAATAAACCAAAACCTCTTGATGAAACCAGTCTTTCCTTTCATCTCATACCTTCAAAATGTTTAGCCTCTAAAGACTGATAAAGGCTCTGACCAAATACTTCGTGAAGAACTTTTCTAAGGGAAACCAGCTGGCATACACGGTACACATGAGAAAATCCACGAAAACGCCCATGCAACCAGCCCGTTTACCGGGATTCGAACCCCGGAGTGAACTACCAGTGTTCAGCGACTTTACCGCTCGGCCGTTTGTGGGCCTTTATGAAATGGAAGGCGATAACTTTATTTAAAATGATTGTCAGAAATATCAAGATATTTCGAAAAGTTGGATGCTTTTTAATATACTTGCAGAATGCCTAAAGAAAAAGAGCAAGAATAAAGTAGAATGCCTGAAGAAAAAGAGAAGAAAAAAATTTTTGCGTAAAATTTAGTATTTGTATTTTTTTTTTAAATTTAAAATCTTTTAATCTTATGATATTTGATTCTTGCGATTTCAAAAATAAAATATTTGACTAAAATATGAATAACATTTTAAGAAACCAAATGTAGGATAAAATTGTGTAAAGCAATGGGCACAATGATAAAACTGTTTAAAGCAGTGTATGCAAGTCATCCTAAGTTAAAATGTCGGTTATACATCTCTCTTATTTATATATATCTTTTCTGAACGGAACATTGAAAGGCGTGTTAACTGTGCTTTACTGTATTTTCTCTTTTAATATATGCAGTTTTCAAACGCATCGTAGTCTGGGTTACAAAGTATTCTTCCGAAAGAAACGCAATTCAAATAAATAAAATCAAATTCTGGAAAATTTATATTAATAAATATATTTAAAATGCTCAGTTCGAAGGAATAAATAGAAAATTTTAAAACAATTATCTGAAGAGACAATGCAACACAAACAATTAAAATAAAAAAGTATAAAAATTTAAAAATTACCTAAAATAATAACTATGACAAAAAATATATATAAAGAAAACTATTTGAAAAAAAAAAAAAAAATAAAAATAAAATAAACGCTGCACCTTTATTTACGCAGTTCGAATAGGTAAATAGAAATTTTTAAAACAGTTATTCGAAAAAAAAACCATGCAACTTAAACAATTAAAATGAAATTCGAAAAAAAAAATTACTTAAAATAATAACAGTTATAATTAAAAAATAAATATAAAGAATATTATTTGGAAAAAAGGAACGATGGTGACTTTTTTTCCTCTCACGGGAAAGGAAACTAGGTTGCCATATATTAAGAAGTTCGCCAAGTGAACTATTCTTGGCGCAAACTGACAAAAAAGTGCCAACATAAATTTGTGAATTTCTCCGTAAATTTCGCTCCAAATTTTACAAAATTTCATATTTAGGCGTAATTTGAGTCGTAGAATCGAAATATGTAAAAAAATTGGTATGTTATTTCAGAAAAAGTCCGATTTTGTGTCAAAATACCTATGTTAGAATAGTGCTATATATAAATCTAATATATATCCTAAGTCGCTCTTTTGAGACATGAAGAACACAATTTGAATTTTGTCAATCGGCCCAGTAGAACGGGAAATATAGAACTGTCCCATTTTTTTTTTTAGCAGTGTACATCCAAATAATCCTCAAAGTATAAGTTAAATTGTTGGACTAGTTATTGAAGATGATTTTATTGAAATGGTTGCAATTGAAACTAATGGATATCATAATCAGATGCACTGCAGATATAAATATTTACAGAAATCAACAAAATAGTACAATACTACAGTTTCCAAGATGAAAAATTTTTTTGCATTACATAATTTGAATGGGGCTGGCACAGAAAACTACAATACATGATTATTGGCCAATGTGCTCGCCTTTCTTTGCAAAAATAATGTCAAAGCATAGATTCCTTTAAATTTTGCACTTTCCAATGATACAAAAAATGTCAAATTCAAGCAAGGTTTGCAAAATTCAATCCGTAATAAATTATCTTTTAAATAAATTAACATAGTGTACAAACCAAAACAGGAGCTTTATTTAGATGAAGCCATGATACTAAAGGGCTTTCCTTTAGGATTTATAATCTGAGTAAAATAAAGTGTGGAATACTAGTCATTCTTGTGTGAGGAAAGTACTGGATATGTTTGCAACTTTTAGCCGTAATGTGGAAAAAGAGACTAAAAAAAAAAAAAAAAAAAAAAAAAAAAAAAAAAAAAAAACCCACTTCTTTTAAATAAAAAACTTAATGGCACCGTACATACATAGACAGTTACTAAGATAGCATTATATTAGCTGAAAACTTAATTGGAGAGTAAGATTCGTACTATATGCAGAAATAAGGTATGCCAAAGGAACAAAATGGTTTCAAATTGAAAACAGCTGAATCTGATTTTTGGCGCTAAGGTAAGGTAGTAGTCCCCGAATAGAAACATAAATGAGATGTTCGAATGATATCCTCAATACACACAATACCGATATCTTAGAGATTGGAAAAATAAATAAAAAAAATCTGAACAGCAAATTTGTGAGCCTGAATGCATAACGAAATACAGTCAACATATGTAAAGTCTTGATCTTGCTGATCAGTATCTTTTAACATTATTCTTGCAGAAATCTATGAAGTGCACGAAAAGAGTTTTCGTGTTTCTTTTACATTGCACACTCTTCAATTCATTTATTTTGTATCATAAGCTCAATTCAAATATCAAAATAACTTTTTCCAAGTTCTTACATACTCTGGTAGAAGAATGTATTGCTTCTGCTACTCAAGATGGTCATCTCCAAAATTTACTAAATACGTGGTAGCAATGGGCTGAGTACATCACCGTGATTCTTATAGGCTTTTAGGTAACATAAACAACACACCAGTTAGAAAGAATCACACAGTCGGGAAAATCAAAGTATTAAAAAAAATGTTGTAGAAAACGTTGTGATATTTTATATATTTGGTTGTAATGAAAGTTTTCTGCCAAAAAATGTTCTTAAAAAAAGTTAGGAAAAAAAACCCCATGAAAGCAGTACCTTTAGAGCGGGTAGTAATCACCGCCCAAATCCATGATTTTCTGTTAACGTTTTGGTATTTTTTTCAAAGCCTCCTGTCCAGAAACAAATATTTATTTGTAACTGCTTAATTTGTAATTAACAAAATGTATAATTGCTTTTTACAATCAGTAAAATTATATATGTATAATGAAAATGAATTAAAAAAATATTTTGTGCTTCAGTATTTTACAATAAAAACTTCAAATATTATTTTTATAAATATTTATTTCCATAAAAGATAAAATTACTCCTATGACAAATTTCTGTAAAAAAAGGATATAAATGTTGTTAAGAAAATACGATCCCGGTGCTGCACAAATCTTTGGCATAAAAATCCATTGCTTTTCAACAGTTCATAATCTATTCATGCAAATACAAAAGATTTCTGAACACTGCAATTTATATCACATTCTCTTAAACTATGAAATGTTTCATATTTTACATAGTATCACAAATGCAAATATTAAATTATCACAGTTTATAAATAAGCAAGATATACACTGTCATATTCAAGGACTTGCATTAAACAAAAGATTAATTTCTATAAGAAATAATATGTTGCTAGCTCCATGCTGAAATCAAGAAGCTGCAAAATGGTTGCTTTCAGGAAAATGCATTTTAAAGTGCTGATATTTTGTGAAAAATTAAATTATAACTTTTAAATTACACTTACCAGCTCATTGGTATGGTCGTTAATGGACTGTTAAAGAGCCTACAGATATTTATATGATAGTAACTTTGTGAAAATTTAAGATGTGTTTTTTTTTTTTTAGAAATTGGGACAGAAGAAGGGTAAAAGAGCCTATAATTTCATCCTTTGGGACGTTCTTCATGAAAAATTGAAATGGTGTGACACTGATCCCAATTTTAATCACAATCCAGCATTAAAGGTATTGTATTAAATTACAAAACAAACCTGATTGTTTAATGACAGTATCGCTATTTTTCAATAAAGTAAAAAAGTGAAAAATAACCTAGAAAATACATTTAGATCAGAATAGGGAAAAAAAAAGATTTGCATATCAATGCAATAAATATTTTGTAATACCATAAAAATCTGTAAATGTAGACTTCTAACTATCAAATTAGTCTGGAGAAAATACGTCTGACAGAGGTCTTTTCATAATTATTTAAATTTTTGGGTGAAATAATGCTATGAAAACTGGAAAATTTTAAGATACAGACATGGAACATAATGTTAATAATAAAATAACTTAATGCTTATCATATCTTAGGGACTAAAGATAATGACAAATATGTTTTAGTAAACGGTGTGAACATATTGGTTCATTTATACTAAAATTATGCATCAGAATTTAAAAAAAATTAGCTGTATCTGAATAACAAAGTGCTTTAGTACCTGCTTTTATTGATATTTCAAATATACTCTTTCACACCTTATTGTTGTCAACCAAAAACTGTTGAAATTATTCACTGGAGCAATTTTTTATTCTAATATGCATAAATCCCAGATGGTAAAAAATTTAACTTTTTAGCATACTGAAAGTTAACTACAAAAGTTTAAAATTTATGCTCAATATAGATAATTTAAGTTAATGTACATCAGCAGATTAGAGGATAAGACCATTTAATTCATCTCAGATTTGTTCAGTAAAGGTTGCATGAGAGCTTTCTTTATGTAATAGGAATGCCACTAGTTCTTAGAAAAATCCTCTATCTGTTTAAAGAAAGACATTCTTTAGATGCATAGCCCTGAGTAATCTGTGACATTTTAATCACTTCCATATTCTAAAAATGTAGTTAAATCCTCTTAAAATGCAGTTGTTCTGTTATAATACAAATTCACATATGAGATAATGCAAACAAGGCTTCCAGTATTCATAAATTGAAACTATTTTTAATAATTTCAATAAAAGTTACCTCTTTAACAAAAATGCAAAAACTTTCCTTCATTAATATTGTTTGTTCATAGGCAAGATGTTGACTTGAGATGATGTTACATTGTTTTTTCATTCAAATTTTAAAGAGAAAATCAATTTAAAAAATATAAATGTCAAATATTGGTATAGAGTTTATGTAAAGGAAAGGGTACATATGAAACTTGTATTTATTATATTTATATGCATACTTCTTAGTCTATAATGCAGCTATAGACTAAGACTACCACACATATGGTGCACCAGTAAAAGACACAAACATATTTTATGTACTACCATGATGTTATTCATCTCATCACAGGAAAGAACAAGAATCATGCGAACATGATACCAAGTATAATAAACTGACAGGTAAACAGTTCTAATATATATTGCAATATGTGTGTAGCTTGGTGTGATAATGTTAATATTAAACATTGCATTATAACAAAGTTTAATTATAACTAATCCCTTTTAGCATTAATGGAGTGTCTCTTGATTTTCCTTTTTGCAGGCGATACATTTTTAATCTTTTGAAGAAATGGCATATTTAATTAAAAATGCATTTTCCTCTTGCAGATATTATTAGTGACAGCAGCAACATATGTATTTCAAGAACATGGTTAGATATTTTATCTTCTGCACTTTATCTACTGATTTCTTTCTCTTTCTTCTATGACTGGTGCTGAATGCCTCATATTATACACAGGAAACTTGGCAAACATTAAGTATATTTGCAGATATGTATTCAAATCCATTTGCTGCCAAAACAGCAGTCCACAAAAAGTTATTGGCATTTTTATCAGAGACTGCAATATCCAGCTAATTGCATGAGCATTCTTCTGTGTAATATGACTATAAGTCCCATTCCCTTAGACTTCCATGAAGTCATTTCTTTAATGGTAATACCAAAAATTAATAAAATCTCAAAATTATTTAGCACATTTAAATGATTTTTGAGTTCATTTTTTTCCCCTAGTGGCAAAGAATGAATTCAAAAATATAAGTTCTTTAGATTAAACCTTGCATTGAATTTAAATTAATAACAGGGAAATGGACTTTGCTTAACATAAAAATATAAAATTTTATTACCAATTTCACAAGGCTTTATAACAAGATAAATAAAGATGTACTTTTTACTTCTACATAATTTTACCCCCTACATAAGTAAAGGAAGAAGAAAAACAGAATTGCTGAAATGTAGTATGTATACATCAAACAATGATGACTTTAGCTTAACAGGTTTGTTTAATAAATACTCAGTTTGTACAGCTTCTAAGAATGCAGTCACAGAATGGTTTTTATGGTTTCAGTAACTAATTTCCAAAGAAAGTGAATACTGATACACCATTTAAGAAATAATCTTTACGCATTATACAAATAAATTTTTACATAAAAATTATTATAATTATTTACATATTTTATATAAAATACATAAAGTCATATCCAGTTATCCTGGGTCAATTAACCTGACATTTGGGCTAAATTAAGCCATAATTTCAATTACTTAAAATCTGAACATTTAAAAATATAAAAACACTAGTTTTAGCATTACTACATTATATAGAACATTAAGATGGATGACACTGATATGCTTTTCCTGGAAAAGCAGCAGTTTCCTGCAGTTTTAAGATACAAAATATCGCAAAATTATATTACTGTCAGAGCCAAGGCTAGGCTTTTTGACACTCTTAAATTCTGCTACCTGCAGCAACTGTACCTGTTCTGGCCAACTACTGTCTCAGATTATTAGCAACTGTTGTTATTGGAAAGAATTGAGCAAATAATTTGAATCATGAAGAAATGGTATTTTCAGGCAAGTACATAATATAAATTAGTAGGAATTTCTCATGGTGTAAAAGTTTATTGTCACATTAAAAAAAATACTGAGTAGACACATTATATATATATATATATATATATATATTAAAAAAAAAAAAAAAAAAAAAAAAAAAAAAAGAAAGGGGGGGGGGGAAGATAAAATACTAACATCCCTTGTTTTTAAATTTGTACGAACATGCTGTTACTTTTCTTCTATACATTGTTTAGTAATAATATGTGTAATCTTTCTAGAAACTGAATATGCCAGATGCTGAGTTTAAAGTAGTTCCTCAGTTTAACAAGTGCTACTAGTAACTAAACAAAACATTGTTCTGATTGCATATATTATAGGCACTTAAAAAGTAAAAAAATTTAATGAATTTTTGTAATAAGAACAATTGCTTTGTTGGGAGTACATTTATATGTAAACATCCCCTCCCCACCAGCAGTTGAAAATAAATTAGTTTAAGAAAAGAACCAGATTAACTGGTGAGCATCTACAACTCATAATGAACACACGTCTAGTTATTTTTCTCTAAGTTTATAAAACTTATTAAAATGGAAACCCTATGAAGTGCTGTAGCTGTAAGAAATAAAAAAGTTTATAATTATTTAACTTGAAAGATACATATATTTTCTGTATGCAACAAAGAAAAACTAAATAGATTAAAGAATGAGAATATGTTGTCATAATTTATTCTCAAGTTTGGGCCCATTTGGAAAGTTTTCATAATTTATTTTAGTTTAAGTAAATTATTTAGGGTTATTCAGTTAATTAAACACATTAGATTTATTTGAAATAAATATCAATAATTTAATTTAAATGTCAATACATCTGAATTACAAGTGTGACCACAGAAATTTTTTGCAGATCTTTAGATTTCAGAGAAAAAATATAAATTGAAATTTTTTCCTTTGCATCATTATTATTACTATTTATGTACGTTTTGATAACTATTTAGTAAACAAATTGTCATGTGTCATTTTGCTAAAAAATCTTTCAGCCTGTCAGCTGCTTTCAGATTGCACATTCGACCTTGCACATTTGGCCATGCACTTGAGACCACTGATATATGCCTTCATAATGACACTAAAAATATCCGAAATCATGTCTGCTCTTTTACAAATATACAAATTCTAGAAATTTACTTCTTAAAGAAAAATGCTATACTTTATGAAATATTAAAATAATCTTTTGCAGCATTCATGATGTAAATAAAATAAATTCTATCATGAATAAAATAAAATAAAAAAAGCTTTGTTTATAACATAATGATGCAGTTTGAGAGATTCATTCCTCCAAGGCTTGATGATATTTCCTTGGCATTTGAAGTTTTCTTTCATGTTTTTCTCTCTGTCACATAATGTTGCATATAAAATGGCATTACTAGACAGCTTTTATATCAAATCTACAAGAAGAAAATTTACATTAAACATGCATCATGTAATTAACTGAGAAAGGAATTAGTTTTATGAAGAATGTCATACTTTAGAAATAGATACTAACCATGAACAAATTAGAGATTACCTCAAAGAGTTATGCAAAAACTTATAATTCCTCTTTCTTTCTTGCATCCTTAAATAAGAGAGAGAGAGAGAACCCTGTAAATATTTAAAAGAATATTTTTAAAAACATGAAATAAATGTAATTTTTACTTACTTTCTCAAACTCTGGACAATAACAGTTCTTTTGTAGAGGTTGATTTACATTTTCCATTTCTTCATGAATTTTACTTGGCTTTTTTAATCTCTTTGAATACTCCTAAAAGAAGAAAATTCACTAATCTTTTGTATACTAAAAAAGAAAGATTCTAATAACATATTTAAATCCTAACATTTTCAAATATTTTGAGTAAATATATTAATAAAAAAGTGAGCAACTGAATATAAAGTGTGAAAATATTTCTGATTAAAATCAAAGAAAAGGTAATTAATTATTTTTAAACATATGGAATATATGCAAGATAAATTTCAAAATGCTTTCAATATAAGGTGCTTAAAAACATAAGATGCTTTAAAATGCTTTCCAACATTTAACTCGGCCCACCAGCGGCCAAGCGGTAAAAATCGCTGGTCCGAGGTTCGAATCCCGTGAACGGGCTGGCTGCATGGGCGTTTTCGTGGTTTTCCCCATGTGTAACGTGTATACGAGACAGTTTCCCTTAGAAAGTTCTGCACGATATCTGCCTAAGGGCATTCCTCCCCTTAGGCAGATAGCCCTCGAGGCTTTGCCATAATACACACACACCCAACACTTAATTCATTAATTTACAAATATCAGAGACTGACATAAAAAAAAACTGCCTTAAAAAAGATGAGTATTAATAAGAATAAAAGGCTAAAAGTCATGAGGTAAAATACAGCAGTGGAATTATTGGATGAAGAGTTACCAGATAGACAAATGAAAAATACTATCAGGCTTTTTTCTGTGTTATCGTGTTTTGCCACTGCCACTTCCACTTGTGAAATGTAGTTTTGCACAGCATTCATGACTTTGATTGGCACAATGATTTACATTAGTTTGTATTAATAAACATAAAGTAAAATTATATATAGATCATCAAAGAAAAATAATTTAAAGAACAAAGTAATGTAAGTAGTGAAAAAAAAATTTTATGACCAGATAAAAGCATCCAAAAAACTTGTAGGGTTAATAGAGCTTCCAAAATTAAAACAATAAAATTCAAAGCCATGAAATCATACCTGTATGAAACAACTGCTTGTATTGATTCTAAAATACTGAGATCAGTTTAAAAGGACGAGGCCACTATTGCAAAAGCCAATAATCAACATACTAATTAATGTTAAAGATACTATCAACAACAAGAATCACCTTAAGTTGCATAAATTTGTAGAAATATTATTTTGAAGGTTAAATAGAACTTTTTCAGCTGCAGGAAGGAACATGCTAACGATGAAAAAACAATTCGAGAAAATTCAAACTCAGTTCTCAATCAAGAACTTAACTACTTAAGAGCAAGCAAATGCAGTTGATGGATGTTTTTTTACTTCATATTATTGACCAAATGATTAAAACATTTTCACATTAACACAATTAAAAACATATTGTTTTGAGCAATTTTAAGAATTCAGTACACTTTCCTTTCTTTCCAGCAGTTAGTTCTAAAAAGTGTACATATTTTATATAAAGTACATATGTACATATTTATATTAAATTTCATGTCATTTTTTTCCTCCTACCAATAAAATTTGTTCTTTGATACTTTAAGAACCTTGTTCTGGATAAGAAATCCTGGGGTATCTACAATATTCCTTACCTTTGGTTTCATATACATTGGTCAACTAGAAGAGCCTTTGCACTAAAGGTAGTCAAATGAGTAGCAAAAACTAAAGAGTTAGAGATGTATATATATATATATTTAAAAAAAAAAAAAAAAAAAAAACCCGCAAACCTTCCATTGCCCAAGACTGCTGGTCAAAAAATCATGTTTTTCATTGCTCTGCATCCATTTATTCAAAAAAGTATAATTATATTTCTTAGAGGTGTTTCACATTAAAAAAATCATTCAGTTCTGGTTTATGATCCCATATCTAATTCAGTTTTACCTTTAGCTTTTAAAGAAAGGAATTTATAATTGCTTTCAATTTTCATCAATGTATAGTGCAAGTAGCTTTGTTTCCTTTTCCTTCCTCATTCTTTTCTCGAATGTTTTGCCTATTGTTATCAAGTGAGTGCATGTTTCCCTTCTTTCATTTTCATTCGTGCAGCTGAAGAAGGGGATTCTCTTTAACTTTCAAAACTACAGCCCTACAACTTACACCAATTCTTGTTATTAAAATAGTTTTAAAATTTGTTGTTTGCTGTATTCTTTTTGTTATAATTAAAGTTAATATCAGAAATTAGTTTTGAATTTCAAACTGTAAAGTTACATTATTGACTCTATGATGATTGGGAGCTACAGGAAGATAGAATTCTTACAGACTGATAAGACTAGTCTGTAAAAAGTTAAAAACCATCCTATTGTATAGTTCCTTTGGAAATAATTTCTGAACTATTGGTTTCTAAGAGATTTCAGTAAAAAACATTAAAGGGTTACTTCTACTTAACAGTATTCAAATATGGGCTAAAGGTCAGTCACACTTACAACACATCACTTACTTCATCAGCTCGAAAATTTATCTCAGTATATAAGTATGATGCATTAAAAACTGCGCACAAGTAGCATTTATGTAGAACAGCCTGTTATATGTACTTCCTTTATTTCATATGGATAGTGAATTATATTTACCCCAAAAAGAATATGTAATGTATTTGACGATTTTCTATTTAGATCCTTGTTGAGCACTCATTTTGAGATAATAGAATACAGGCCTCCTCATAAACAGATGACTCTAGTTTGGAACTAGAACATTATAGGGAAGAAGCTGGGCATTTCATACAATAAAAGCAGGAAAATATTTGGTTAGATTACATATTCATCTTTTCAGGGATTTAATGTCTATTTCATTATAGTGACAAAGTTTGACCCATACAACTGAATTGGATAATTGTATAAGAAGCACTGATATAATCTATTTATACAGTCTCTGAAACTTCAGATTAACACAGCATTTTTAATGCTAAATAAAATCAATTCGATGAAATAAGGAAGATATACATATTTTCATTCTCTTCAACAATTAACTACATTTAATATTTTGGCTTTTGATAAATTTTAATGATATTACTAATCAGCAATTTAAAGTTTGCTATGATGTTGAGGTAATTACATTTTATATTCAAATGAGTAGCAAAAACTTATTTCTTAATTCATAAAGTGACATTTCAAGCTACACTCCACTAATAATTGTTTATTTCCTCCCTCTTTTCTGCATGCCTTCGTTGTGTAATGGTTAGCAAATTCAATGCTTATTCGAGAGGTCCAGGTTCAAATCCAAACAAGGGCATTACTCATTTTTCCCATCTTCCAGCATCAAAATAACCTAATGACTCCACAGTGGCACTCAAACTAAAAGGTCATGGATGATGATTCATTTTTCCCCACCAGTATGTGGCGACTGGGTCCCCTAATTCCCAGTCACCCTTTAGAAATGACAGTATATAAGGTCATTTTTTTTCTCCTTTATGCATGCCTTCATGGTGTAGCGGTTAGCACACATGGCGTGTATTCGATAGTTCCAGGTTCGAGTCCTGGCAAAGGCATTGCACATTTTTCATGTCTCCCTGCTTCTAAATTACCTAATGTCTCTACAACTACATTCATTATGTTACGTATTTATTTTAATTTTAAGATCTCATGCATTTAGAAGTAAACATAAAGTTATAGTTTACAAGGCATGTATTTTAAAGTATATTTACACTGCATATCAAAAGTTCATATTTACGTATTTTGGTGAGCTACCTAATTTTTCATCCAAGTTAATATTTGCACACAATTTAACACAACAGAAAACCTCTTTGAGCATGTTTTCACATTCCCACTTGATCAGTCAGGGTTTCTATGGATAAATATTGGACTTCCGGCTGAATTAAAAAAAAATATGAATCTTCAATTTTAAACAATAACACAGTTAATTTAATCATTATTGGGTTTTCCTTTGCATACAAGAATATATTGGGTTGATTGGAAAGTCATGTCGTATTTTGCTAACAGATATCATTAGCGCACTTTTTGGAGTAGAAGCACCATGTGCACGCACTTCACCGAAATATTATATAAGGCGACACTTCTAACCCACTCAATAAACAGAAAATTGTTTGATTTGAATGAATTGGATAGATTTTATACAGAGTTGAAAATGGAGGGAAAAAACTGTTGGTTTTCGCTATATTTTGCTTTTTTTTGTTTCCGCAAAGGCAAGAATGCAATGCAAGCTTGTGACAAGTTGCGAAAAGTTTATGGGGACAATGCTCTAACGATACATCAGCACTAGGCTGGTTTACAAAATTCCGTACTGCCGATTTTGATGCGAATGATGCGCCTCAGTCAAAAAGGTCATTGGAGGCTGATGATAATGAAATATAGGCAATGGTTAAGTTTAACGCGCGGTACACGACACGAGAGATTGCAGAGGCACTACACATTGCGCAATCAATTGTTCACGACCATTTAAAGAAGCTCGGATTCGTAAGCAAGCTTGAAGTTTGGGTTCCTCATGAGCTGAAGGATATCCATTGGTGAAGCATTTGAGCATCTGCCATTTTCTTCTTAAACATCAAGAAAATGACACTTTTCTGATGCGTATGGTCACTGGTGACACGAAACGGATTCTGTACAATAACGGCACATGCAAGCGGTCTTGGAAACAGTGCGATGAACCACCTCAATTCACGTCCAAAGTGAACATTCACCAGAAAAAAGGTCATGCTGTTAGTGTGGTGGGATTTCAAAGGTGTTATGCATTTTAAGCTCTTAACAAAGAATCAAATGATTATTCAGCTGTATACTGTCAGTAATTGGACAAATTAAACAATGAAATCAATCAAAAGCCAGAACTTGGGAATTGTAAAGGCGTTGTGTTTCACCAAGACAACGCAAGACCACACACAAGTTTGATTACCCGCCAAAAGCTGTTGGCACTTGGTTCGGATGTGTTGCCCCACCCACCGTACTAGCGTGACCTTGCATCTTCAGATTACCATTCGTTTTGCTCTTTGCAGAATTTCTTGAATCATAAAACATTCAATTCTGATGAGGTTATAAATCGACACCTGGTACAGGTTTTCGCTTCTAAAAACGGGTCATTCTAGCAGCATGGAATTATAAACCTTGTTGAAGGATGGCAAAAGGTCATCGAACAAAAGGCGCAATACATTATTGACTGAATTCTTATTTTTATAGGAATAAATCATTTTTGAAAAACATAGTAAAAATACAACGACTTTCCGATCAATCTGATAATAAACACAATTCTTCATTTAATCTGCCAGCTTATGAAGTAGACTATTCAGCTCACGATTCTGCATGCTGACAAAATTATACTTTGAAGCTTATCTACAGATTTTTACAGCTTATTATTGGTGTTTACCTCAGTGTTATTGATATATAACAATATTTGGTACTTTTCTGTTTTGCCGGCGCAGGCGATAAAGTCGCCAATAATGGTACAACCGGAATATCCTCGCTGGTAACCTTTTTCACCTCATTTTCAAAACATGTCACAGCCATTTCTTATAAGATTGATTTTTTATTTCAATACAGGCATACAATTACATAGAACATTTACCAGACAGTTAAATTTTATTTTTCAATCGCGAACCACAGGACTAAAATTTACAAAAATTTTGTGGGACCCCATAAGTATTGCGCAAATCTGATATATGTGCGAGTGAAACTGTCAATTTTTTCCCTTGTACTGTAATATACTATTGCAGTTTTAGGTCTATAACTTTAATTTCTAATTTTAAGACATAGAACAATGTGAAAATTTTAAATAAGTAACAGACAAAATGACAGCATCACGTGCAAAGCAATTTAAAAGGAACGTTTATATTATAAAAAGACTGCGTCGAAATGTTTTCTTTGTCTGTATTGTCTCATCTTTATCTATTTTCAGATACATCGTGTAAAAATATTTGGTAATTGTAAAATTATTATAAATTAAAGAAATATCAAAACTGCTAAAATTTTTGGCGACCTCCTGCCGCAGGTCCTGCGACCCCCAGTTTAAGAAACCCTGCCCTAAGGCCATTCATGGCAATTAAGTCACTTAGGATGCAATCACACCACTCACTCAAAGGCAAAAATATAGAAAAGGCAAAGTCAAGGAATTCATGAATGAAATAGAATGCACTAGCAAAGTAAAGCACTGCAGTTTTACATAATTTCTGATCTAAATAAGCTATTCGTACAAATTGAAATAATTCTTGCATTTAAACTTGTATTTCAAATTAAGATTTAACTTGAAATTAACGTAGACAATTACTGAGAGAATTAGATTTTTGTAGTATAGTTTACGTGAGATGAGATAATTTGGGTCACCTGATATGAACCGAAGAATTGGGATGTTGAACCATGAAAGCATAGTAAATTCTTAAATTAATATCTTTTTACAAATTTATTGTCTTTATTTATTGGCTTTTTACAAAATTTTAAATGATATTAAAATATTTATGCCTTCAAAATAAAAAATTCTTAGAACTAACATTTGTTAACATTTTTTATGTGTATACTGTATGTTGTCGCCAATAAAGTCTGCTTGGAGAGATCTGTGCCGGCAAAACTGAAAAGTTCGCAGCCCACAAGTGTGAAAATTCCATAAAATGAGAAAGTCACTCTTAAATCTTGATCTGCGTGTAACATCATGAATCTTGACACAATGTACAAAAGTATAACATTAAGAAGCTGTGGTGCTGACTGAACCACAGCTTCATGATGTTATACATTCATATGTTGTGAGATTGTTTTGCTTATGGATAAGTGGAAAGCTTCAAAAGCCTGTGCAAACAGACAATTTCCTCTTCCCATTATTGTTAACATTAAAACACTATAAGCTATATAAATAAATTATTAAGATAATTTAACAATACGAGATAATACACAAAATATAGCAAAATAATCATTGGGTGTATTTTTTGGTATGACTTGATATTGAATTTTTAGCCATAAAAACACAATGACTGAGTGTGAATGTAAAAAAAAAAAAAAAAAAAAAAAAAAAAAGGGGGGGGGGAGCATATAAAAAATACTTAAAACTGGCTGTGGAGATTATTTGTTGATACAAAACATATATAGTATATTCATGAGTATTTTAATTTTTAGCTTAATTTTTTAGAATTAAAAAAAAAAGAGAGAGTGGAAAAGCACTAAAAGCAACACACAAACTGCAGTACTAAGAAGCATAATTAGGGTTTCACACAATTTATTCTAAATTTATGAACTGTAGTATAAATTTTTCTCTTATCTAACTAAAAACTTTAATACAAAATGTGCTCAACTGAACCATAACAAAATTAATTTAACTACTTGTGGCATACAGATCTACTGATAATTAAATGAGCATTAACAAGATATTCTGGATCACTGCAAATTCACTTAATACTGCTAGTATATAAATATTGTTTAATAAATTCTATTTTTGAGAGGAGAATAATAATCATTCTGGGCATAGGATATTCATTATAGCAGAACTAAACATCCATTTTTTAGACTTGGACCTCCATGAAAATATGCTAAATAAGAGAAAATTTGCTGCCTTTTGAAGTGCATTTCAATACACAGAAAATATGAAATAAAAATAATTATCTTACTTTTATTAAAACAGCATAATAACACAAAATGTCTTTGGGCATCAAATGCAACAAGGCATAATCCTGAGCATTCTCAGCAATTTCTTTGGCTTCTGAATCATGTGTAAGAGCCCAGTTGAGTTTTTCCACTAAATTAGATAAATTTCTATGGAAAGGCACATAATGAACCATTGGCTTCAAATCATGGTAAAAATGTTCATAAAATTCAGAATCTTGCTTGAGTACAAGGCTGCTTCCTGCCAAAAGGTAAGGTAATCGATAAGCAGCAACTGTTCCGTCAATGTTGATCTGATACCTATACTTGAGTAGATAAAATATAAAAATAAAGCAAGTAACTCAATACACATTATTTATCATATTTTTTCAATGCTATGACACACTTCTTAATTTCAATCCCCCCAAAAAAAGAGTTTCTGACTCCAACAGGGAGGGAAGGAAACAAATGAAATTAAATTCATCCATAGTGACTCACAACCTTTTCCCTTCATGTACCCCTTAATAAAACTTTGTAATTAGAGAGTACATCTAACCTCTTCGCCTTCCTTTCAATATTACTATAATACATATCTTCATACTATTTTAATACCATAAAATTAAAAGACTGCAGTGAATAAGAAAAACGTAATCAAACAAAAAATGTATTACTGAATGGCAACATATTGATGCCTTGCCACTTATTTCTTCATATTATTCTTTTGTTGGGAGAGGAGCAGGGAGCAAGACAGCCTTCAAGGAAGAATCTATCGAAAGCTCAATAAGTTATTTTAAAGAACAAGTTAAGAATGATAACTTTTCGGTTATTTTCATTGAACACATTCTTGAAAGAATTTGAAATCCAGTTATTTTCCTCACTTCTTTTAGGAAAGAGATGTTTAAACGACTTTAGAGTCCTTTTAAGTGGATTTGTTAAGTTGCTCTGTTTTTTTTTAACACATTATTCCTAAAAATTTAATTTTTTGATCATAATATCAGTTTTGCCAGAAACTTGTTGACTGTGTAATCCTATAGCAGTTATTTCTGAAAATATGTCATACAGGTATGCAAGTCCATGAAGACATTTATCACTATGAAATTTCAAACCTAACTAAAATGAGCCTGTGTGCAGGGGAATATCAGCCAGTTGTTTTAAGGTACTGTTTACTCTTTCAGCAGCCACCTTATTTCTGCATGCATAAGGTTACCCATCTCCTCACATTATACTTTAGATATTTTGGAGTTTACTGCATTGGATTTAATGAAATTAATAACTTTTACAGATTCAATGAGTAATTTTCTGAATAACTGTGATAAGTGTTTAGAAGCTAGCTTTGCCGTGAATGCAGCAATAGCTATAAATTATGTGGGGTGTGACCTCAATGAAATGCCATCAAAAATCTAGTATAACATCTTGCTATTTATCGCAGTTACACTGAAATTGGCTCAGTCAATGCCCTTGTCACTGAAATAATCATTAACACTATTCAAAAATATTTTCCCATGTGCATCTTTTTGCTAGAGGACAGCATAGTAAGAGATTTTTATTTACATATATTAATTTGTTTACATGTATCGATTTTGCAATAAAAAAAGCAAAGACAGAAAGGTTCAATAACCAGTGCTCTCATGGAAAAAAAAAGGGAACTACTTTTTATTCTCTTAATTACTGTTGATCTAATATCGTCAAACACGCTCTTGATTCTCCAAGAAATTATATTACCGTAATTTCCGGAAGAAACGCCGCGGCATTTACGTATTTAAAACTTAAATTTTCAGCGGGTGCGGCGTTTAGGTGCACTGAAAATAAAATATTTCCTATGATGGTCATTGTACATAGTTTGGATGGCCTTGTCATTGTGCATAGACTGGTGCTGTTCCCACACAAAAGACCACTCAGTTGCTTTTTGCGAACGTTATTTTGTTTACATTCTCTCCCTTGAACGGCCCTACATGCCTTTTATTCACCCTAAACGAGATCTCAGAAAAATAACATTCTTCCCCCTTTCAAATCAACATTCTCATCAGTTTGAATAGTCTCTCTCCTCTGTCAAAGAAGATTCTTTGCCTCTGTGATTCGATGAATCTTCCAGGACCCATCCTCTCCCCACCCCTACCTTTTCTGCAATTTTTTTCAAAGGCGGATACGACTCCACCTGCCTCGCAATAACGAACTCTGACGTATTTCCCCTTCACCATGAATGGATTTTTCTTGGCATTCTGCCAAATACAGATCCCATCAGTTTGGGTACAAGTACTTGTTGGATAGTTTTTAAGTAAGAAGGGAGCGGAAAATTTTTGAAAATGTCTCTAAACGGCACAGAAGCTATACATTTCTTAACTTTAATTTATTTTTGAGTTATGGTTTCATTTCATGCATTTTTCTTAACTGGTATGTCATATATCAGGACTTGAGTTTTTGCATCTATACGGCCCACGACGATGTCACCTTGATCACATTTTAAAATGCCACGCGCAATTTAATCTATTGCGGCGTTTACGCTGATGCTGCGTTTCTGTGTAATTTTAATTTTTTTCCCGCCATTTTTCTCGAGTGCGGTGTTTACGCTGATGCGGCCTTTCTTCCGGAAATTACGGTATTTGAGATGAAAATGATGTTAAATTCTTGAACTTATTTTCCAGACTTGCACTAAACAGCATCTTCAATACAACAAGTTATCAAGTTTTCAGCTATCATATAGATTTTATAGCAATTATGTAATTTATTAATTACAAGACAATTAAAACACATTTTCATTGTCTGTGTTAGTTGATAATTGATAAGATTTACACCAGGATCTTTAGACAGCTGCTGAAAAATGTTTATTTCTTTTTATTTTTACTTACTTTTACTTTTTATTTTAATAGTGTTTCAGTTCAAAGTGACCGATATCAAAGGTTTCATTGATAAAACTCTCCATATATCACAAAAAGAGGAGTGGAATTATACTATCTCTTGTGAATGAAAATCCATAATTTAAATATTCATCAGAACACCTGCTTTCTTTTGGGGAGAAACATTATCTGCAATTTTCTTGTTACTGGTCAGCCTATCTCTTACATGAGTCATAGCTTCATTCCAACTTTTAATGGGCAGATTGACACATTCTTTGGAAATGTTTTGCACAGATGGCAAATTAAAGGTGTTATCTATGGTGCTTTCTGTTTTGTGCTAGGATTTACTTTTAAAATATTTATCCATTTTTATATACACCACACTTTACATTCATCAGGAGAAAAAATCTAATTTAAAACAAAATTCTAACCTCAGATTGATTTGATTGACATAACTGTAAAGAAAAAAAAATCAGGCTACACCATGATTCACTCAGTATTAAAAATATGGTACGCACAAATTCACATACTGGCGAACATGGCTCCAATCTTTCTATATGATACTCAGTGAAAGGGTGGTAAAGAAGTCGGTTATATGCAATGCATAAGGAACCAAACAATATGACTGATGTGGGCAGGGCTAGTTATAGGTAATTACATGGCATTTGTACACACTTTGATCAGTAATGGTTACAATGAAAGTCCTTGCATTGATTTCCTTTTTATTTAATGGTATTTAATTAGGATTTACTGTATTTTGCCATTACAGTCGATTCCGGTTAATCAGACCACATCGGGAGGTGATCGTTTTGGTCCTAATAACCAGCTGGTCCGATTACACGAACATGGCCTATGTTGTAAGACGGGACGTGCTATACGTAGCAAACAGTAAATGTACATGTAAATCATGTACTAAAATCTAATTATGACCTTTATTGCGCAATACACACATATGGCGAACATACATGTACAAACAAGAACTAGAGTCGAATTTTTATCATTGAGAAAATTAATTTAGAAACAAATTCTAAGAAACGATCTCCACGATACTCAGCATGCGAAGCACAATAAAAACAAGTTCTTATCAAGTTCCAGTCAACATTTGAAGAACATTTATCCAATGTATCTTAACAACATTTATCCAATGTATCTGACATGTTCTCTTACTGGATTGCACATGAACGAAATCGCCACAAATATCTAACTCAGCAATGGAATTGCCTTCATTTCCCTCCTGCATAAAATACCAACGTAAAGTTTTAATGTATTTCCTCGTATCCTGTGTTGTTACTCGCATCAACTTATTAGCGACATCATCATCATCATCACTTTCTTGGTCTTCCAATGCTATCTTGTGTTTTGCTACAACAATTGCAGCGTCGTAATCTCCATTTTCATCGTAGCATTGAAGCTCGTTGTTGATGGATAAAAATTCTTGGCAATTTGGTACTTGTTGAAGTTTTACACATCTGTTATCATTTTCACTTCCAATGAGCAGCCCACATCCATCTCCAAAACCAAGTGCTTAAAGCCACAGTGAGAAAAACAGTTCTGAATTGCCTCACTGCTCACTTTTCACCAGCTGTCGGCCACAAATATAACTGCTTGTAGGATGCTAACCTTTTCACTGACTTCACTTGCTTTTGACGATGAGATCAGCAAATTTTCTTCAATTGCTTCAAGGATGTAATTAATCAACATTCCATGATAAAGGGTCTTCAAATTCTTTATGATGCCCATGTCCATTGGCTGGACCAAAGCTGTGGCCCTGGGAGGTAGAAATTCCAGTTGGATGTTCTTCAAGCAATCTAAATGAGGATGTGCTGCAAAATTGTCAAGAATAAGCAGCACTTTTCTCGACTGGCGCTGTAGGCTCTCTGTCTCAATCCTTCAACCATTCTTTAAAAGGTTCAGAGGTCATCCACACATTTCTATTCGTACGATACACAACTGGTAAACTGTCTATCCTAAGTCTGTAGCCAATCAACAAGAGGTGTATCAACATCCGTCCTGTTATGTCACAACTTCTGTCTCACCTCACAGCCTCTTTTTGGCCGGTGCTGTTGGAGTGAAAGGATTGCGACGCAATGCTCCTGGTACGAGTCTTATTCCGTGTGTATAATAAAATATATTTTTATATTGAATGCTGTTTCATTCAATTATGCATTCAATTATGGAGTCAGATCAACATTATGGGCTTTCCCTGCAGCACCTGCAGGCGAAACTCTCACTCACTGCTCACTCCACGAAAGCAGTTTAAGTTTGGCAATCAAATGAGAACTCTCATGAACTCTAAAAAGATTGTGGCCATCGGTTCGGGAAATGAAGAGGGCTGTCCGGCTCTGAAATATAGCTCGAGTTTTGCAGGACAGATCTGCAACATCTTTAAGTTTTGTGGAACCAGCAATATCCATAAAGTGTGTATGTGCTGTGAGAAGTTCTTTAAAATGCCATGGACTATCAGCCTCCATAAAAATTTTAAGTTGTGATTC